CAAAAACTGCTATACAACCATACGATTAGTAAGTTACAGGCTGTGTTATACAACATTAGGTGTAGGTTTACCTTTGCTTTAAACATATGATTATGTGACTGCTCATTCGCATATTCACTTTTCCTTATGTTCATACCTTTGCACTTATATTCCCATACCTTTGTTCCTTCCTGTAGGTAATCATTAGTTCTTTTTACACTCGTCCTAAGTCACTGTGTCCTACTGTGGTCAGTTGGGCCGTTGGAGGCTTAATTATATTTTGTTGGTTCTTAGTGTGTATTGTGTGGGGGTGGAAGAGGGGGGAGGAGAATGGGGAGAAAGATGCTTGCTGTTGGATGTGTGGGGGGGCCTCGGTTCATTATGTGGTCTTGAGGAGCTATTGGGTCCACGGGTACCAGATCTCTGTGTATTGTTGGTACTGGTTTGAGAGAGAATAACAGGTTTCCTCTAGGCTTCTGGTATTTTCTACTTTTTGTAGCCATTCGCGTACGGTAGGGGGATTTGGTTGTTTCCATAAGGCTGGTATGAGCTGGTTTGCGGCGGGTATAAGGTGCTGAAGTAGGGCTGCTGCATGCTTTGGTGTGCCTTGTGGGGGCAGAAGGAATAGGTAGGTGACTGGGTCTAGAGGGACGGGTATCTTAAGTATAGTGTGGATCATGCCTGAGATGCGTGTCCAGAATTTTTGTATCTCAGGGCATCACCACCAAATGTGTGTTGTGGTGCCTATGGCTGTGTGGCATCGCCAGCATTTGTTGGAAGTTGTGGGTAATAGAGAGTGTAGTTTTGATGGAGTGTAGTGCCATCTCACTATTCTTTTATAGTTACTTTCCTGTGCTGTTGTATTTTTTGTGGAATTGTGGATTTGCTTAAATTCTTTTGCCATTTGTCTGGCGATATTTCTATATTCAGCTCTCTTTCCCAAGTAGTGGCGAAAGCTGGCTGTTGTTGGGGTCTTGTGGATAGAATCAGGGAGTACATTATTGAGATGAATTTTGCCTTTATGGATTGGAGGGAGCAGTGTTTTTCGAAATTAGTTTGGTCCCGGCTAGCGCTATTGGTTAGGGGTCCCGATTGAATGAAGTATGTTAACTGTCTGTATTGATATAGCTGTATTGCCGTGGGAGATATCATGAATGCGTGTATAGATTTAATTGATTGTGTCCCTATGGTTTCTATGGTGTCTCCCAAGGTAAGGTATGTTGTCTTATGGTAGGATTGAAATGACTTGCCCTCTGCCCCTGGTTGGAATAGGGGGTTATGTGTGATCGGGTAGAGTGGTGATGGATATGGTGATACCTGTTCGTGAGTGCTTAGGGTTGCCCACATGCGTAAGGTTGGGGTGATTGTAGGGTGTGGGTTGTATAGCATTAGTGTCTGCCCTGACTTGTGTCAGGGTATCGTGTAGATTGGTACCCGAAAAAAGGTACTTTCTAGATTTACCCATTGTTTCTCGGATTGTGGGTGTGACCAGTCATATATTCTGGTGAGAAGTATTGCTTTGTGATATGTTTTAACGTCCGGTAACCCCAAACCTCCTCTATCCCTCAGCCTTGTGAGAAGGGTATAAGGCAGTCGTGGATTTTTGTGAGCCCAGATGTATGTTGTGAGTGTTTTACGAACTGCCGAGAACCATGTCTTGGGAATTGTTATGGGGAGCACCTGTAGCATGTAAAGAATTCTGGGTAAGATGTTCATCTTAAGGATGTTCATCCTACAAAACCATCCAAAATGTGGCTTGTTCCAGATTGTGAGGTCTGTCGATATGGCTTTTAATAGGCCGGGAAAGTTTCTCTCATATAATTGGGGGAGGTCCCTGGTGATGTGGATCCCTAAGTATTTTATACTGTGTGTGGCCCATGTGAATTTGTGGTCCCGTTGCAACACAGCTTTCTCCTGTGCTTGGGTGAATATTGGGAGGATCTCGCATTTGCTGATATTTGCCTTAAAATTGGAGAGTGTACTATAAGTAGTCATTTCTGATATCAGGTGAGGTATCGAGGTCACTGGATTTGATAGTGTGAAAAGCACATCGTCTGCGAATGCAGCTATTTATTGTTCCTCTGTCGCCGCCTGAATGCCCCTGATGTTGATTTTGTCTCGGATCCCCTGTAGGAATGGTTCTAGGACAAGAACAAAGAGGAGTGGGGAGAGGGGGCAACCCTGCCTGGTGCCGTTTGAGATTGATACTGGGTCAGAGAGTTGTCCATTTATTCGGATATTGGCGGTAGGGCTTGAGTATATTGCGGTGATCCATTTTTGCCAATGGGGTCCGAATCCCAAATATTGTAGCGTATGTAGCATCAGGGTCCAGTCTACCCTGTCGAACGCTTTTTCGGCATCTATCGACAGGAGTGTATGAGGTTTAAGATCTTGGTGGTATTATTCTTGGCTTCGCTGCCTGGTATAAAGCCTGATTTGTTTGAGTGTACCAACCCTGGGAGTAGTGGGCGTAATCTGTTGGCCAAAATTTTTGTGAAAATTTTAAGGTCAATGTTTATAAGTGAAATTGGCCTGTAGCTACCATGTTGAGTTAAGTCTTTGCCCGGTTTTGTTAAGAGGGTAATTGTTGCGTTGAGGGCCTGGGGTGGGAGGGTGTCGGAGTGTAGTAGTGAATTGAAGGATTTTACGAAGTCGTAGCAAAGGTCTTGTAATATTTTGCAGTAAACCCATCGGGTCCTGGGCTTTTCCCTTGTGGCAGGTGTTTAATTATGTCTATACATTCTTCTATAGAGATTGGATGCTCTAGGGAGTCTTTTATGTTGTTTGGTAGGGAGTATCGTATTCTATTCTCTAAAAATGCCTTGCGTCTGGGGAGTTGATTGCCTAAGGTTGTATAGGGCTGAGTAATAGTCGTGGAAGGCGTTTGATATGTCTGTCATTGAGTGTGAGAGTTCCCCTTTGCTATTGTATATAGCTGCTATAAATGTTTGTTCCCTTTGTTTTTTTAGAGCATGGGCCTGGAGTCTCCCGCACTTCCCCCCCTGGGCATAGTAAAGGCTTCTTGTTTTAGCTAAGGCATATTTGGTGCGGATGTTAAGGATGGAGTTCTATTCCGTTCTTTTCTCTTGTAGCTGCGTGTATATGGATAGGGTGGGATCTCTTTTGTGTGTTTCTTCTAGGGATCTAATTTCTTTGATTAGATAGGTGGATTGTGCCTCTCGCTGTTTTTTGTGTTTGGACGCTATTTGGATGATTGTTCCCCTAATTGTGCTTTTGTGAGCCTCCCATACAATCGGGTACAGAGTTTCCGGTGTTGTGTTCTGATCAAAATATTGAGTTGGACCTTCCTTGATTAGTGTTTGTATCTCCGGATTGTTCAATAGGGTGTCGTTTAATTTCCATTGTGATCTATTTGGATGTAACGATGGAATGGTGATGGTCATTGAGATCGGGGCGTGATCCAACCAGGTGATTGTGGCGTATTCACATGTTTTGATGAGGTTTAAGAATCTATGGGGAATGAGAAACATGTCAATTCTGGAGTATGTGCCTGAGGAATGGGAGTAGAATGAGTAGTCGCGTTTTGCTGGGTTAAGTATTCGCCAACTGTCATATAATTGAATGAGTCTAATAGTTTCTGGATGTGTGTTCTCGATGAGGCTTGATACATTTGAGTCTGTGAGGTGGTGTCTATCATCCCATCCAGTGAGATGTTAAGGTCCCCTCCTATTATTAATAGGCCCTCCTTGAAGGTATCCAGCTTGCTTAATATTTTGCATAATGCGGGGGTTTGTTTCCTATTGGGGAGATATATGTTTGCAAAAGTGACATGTGTGTCCTATTAGTCCTTTGAGGAATAGAAATCTACCATTGTCGTCTGTCAGTTGGTCTTTGTATGTAAATGGAAGGTGAGAAGACATGAGGATCGCAACCCCTCTCGATTTAGCTTCTAAGTAATTGCTAAAGTAGCCTTTGGTGAAGGTTCTAGACGTAAGTGAGGGGGCAGTGTCCTTACGAAAATGCGTCTCCTGTATAAATACCACATCAGCCTTATGTCTGTGGTAGTCTGAGAGTGCCATGTGGCGTTTCTCTGCGGTGTTTAGGCCCCTAGCATTGTGGGAGATGATGGTTATGGTGGCCTTCGCCTCGGGTACGCTCATGTCTGGAGTGTAATTGGGTTCGTTCAGTTAGTGTTCTGATTCAATTGTGTCTTGAGCCTTTTGTATTTTGAGAAACCGTATGCACAGCAATAGACGTTTGTATGTAAGATCGCTTAGTTCAAATATACATAGTTCACATAAAACATTAGTATTGTTAACAAACAATTAACTATTTACAGTTTGTTAGTTCTAATCTTGATTCAACAGATGTATACCTTTGATAACTATTGATAGTTGCGTGTGTGCAACTATTGTAACTGGTGTCGGCCTCTGAGATGTCCCTGAGTCTGCAGGAGGCCAATTTGTTGTGACACCGTTGATAGTGGTGGGTGAGGGTATGCGTGGAGTCGTTTGAAAGTGGTACTGTTTTTGTTGTGTGTATGTTGTGTGTCGAGTTATGTGTTATTTAGTGGTTAACTAGTACCTTCTGTACCAGTGGGTAATTTGTTTCTTGGTATGTTGCCCGGATGGAGCTTGCGGGCTGAAATCTTTTAGTGGTGTTCTTGTGTATTGGAGCATGGTGTTGAGTTTTAGTGTATGGGGGTGTTTAGTGGGACTGGAGGAGTTACATGTCTTAAACCTTGTCCCAGCTGGTAGGGGGGGTAGTAAACAGAGTTATTGTATAGAGGTAAGTAGTCATTTTTATTTATTTATTTATTTTTGTTGTTGTTGTTTTTTTATAATACCCTGCTGATGCGGGTTGTCTTCACATTTTCCCTTCAAGTGTAGTTCGTTCAGTGGTTTGGTTGAAGGTTACCTTGTCAACACTGTTGGTATTTGGCTTTGTGTACTTTGTCAGTTCCTGCATCTGTACGGGTACTCAGGTTCGTGGGTTGGTCTACCTAATTGTATGGTGTATGTGTGTGGGTTATATCTGCATACGTTCAATTACATTACTGATCATACGACCTGAAGTTGAGAGTCCAACAGGGTGTTCTTGATATCAGGTTTGCCATTTAAGGTCATAGCTCGAGTTGTGAAGTCCCGGCTAAGTTGCCTGTTAAATAATTGTATGTCCATTACGTTGGGTTTAACTGTAGAGTGCATGGATGCGTGTGAGTTCACCATGTTTTCTTCTGTTGGCGTGTGTGCCTTAATTGCATCATGCGGGGGTAATTCTCCTTTAGTGGTGTGAGGGTTGAGCATTCCATCTGGGTGCGGTGTTTGCATGTAATTTAGTCCTCCATGGCCCCTCTGGTGCGTCTCTCTCTTCGTTGTTGGGGGATTAACTTGTCTGGTTCGCTGTTTCTTCATTGGTGATTGCCATCCCTGTCCTTGTTGGAGTTTATTGCGGGAGGTAGCTGGGTCCGGCGCATACCAGTCCATAATGGAAGATTCGTTCAGGTCTAGTGACCTGATGAATGGAGCTACATCTTGATGTGTAGATATTGTGAATGTGGATCCTCTGGTGTTGACAATTAGGGCAAATGGGAAACCCCACCTGTACCGGATACTGCGGATCCTTAGCTGGTCTGTAATGGGTCTTAAGGCTCTTCGTGCCTGCAAAGTGAGCCAGGAGAGGTCTGGGTATATTTGAATTTCCTGGCCGTGATACAGCAATGGGGTAGAGGTGACTCTTAATTTTCTCAGGATTTCTTTCTTGAGCGAGAGTAATGGATGCGGCATATAATGTCACGTGGTGTGTCACCTAGCCCATTTTTTGATCTTAGGGATCTGTGTGCCCTGTCAAGGGTTATTTGTGTGTCTGGTGGGCGGCCTAGGATTGAGTTAAAGAGGGTAGTTAGTTGATTGGTTAAATTTTCGTTATCTGCCTCCAGGAGCCCTTTTATGCGAAGATTATTTCTCCTTCCTCTATTATCTAGGTCATCTAGTGACCTTTGCATCATGGAGAGATGTCTGTCGTGGGTATCAACTTTGGAGGCTAGATCTTGTATCCGTGTTTGATAATATCCCCTCTCATCCTCCAGGTCTTGCACCCTGTGGCCTACCTGTTTGATTTCAGAGCTGAGGCCCTCCATTTTGTTTTGCAACGTGGTTTCTAATTTTCCCAGCATTTGTGCCAGGTCAGCTTTGAAAGGCAGGTTTTTCAATATCTCCTTAATGTCAATGACTGTGGAGTCTGTACAGCTTTCTGATGCAGCAGGGCTTTGTGGTCGAGAGTACGTAAGGGCCGCCGCCATATTAGGATCTCCGTGTTCAGAAACGCAGTCGGCGTATTCCTTAAATAGACGGGTTACCGATCCCGGTTTTCCCGCCGGGGTCTTCCCTGGTTGTGGGTGAGTAGTCTGCTGCTTTTTATTGTTCCCCATATCATTTGAAGTCCTCCGGTGCGGATGATTTCAGCCCTTGTAGCTCAGAGCTTATTCAGTGTGCGGCCATTCAGTCCGGATGCTAGCCACTCCCGTCGATTCCATAATTTTTTGTATATGGAAACATATGCTGTTATGTGACCTCTCATTACTGATTTTGATGTTTACCAGAAAAGAAAAATGTGGTCATCTGTGAAATTGGCCCAGGCTCCTACCAACATGTTCCAAAAACAAATCTTGTGTTGTTAGATAATTTGAAAACTGCCACTGTAAGGTAGAATGAATAGATGAACCTAGATTCAGAAACAAGTCAATTGGTGCATAGTCTTGAGACTAAAATATGTATTTCTGCCTGTATTACTTTAGATACCAATTTAGGGGAAAACAAAATAAAAAAACTGATTCTGGATGAGGTGTTAGGGCTCTAGTTGCATGTGTTTGTTTAATTCCTGACCTATATCTTTTTCCATGTGTCTGTGAGGTAAAGGCTTCTCTGAAAATAAAAAAGTCCCAGGTCTTCCTGAGAGTGGGATGACTGAGCAGAGCCAGATCTGTCCACCTGACCATCAATCACCATGTTGAAGTCCCCTCCTATAATTATTTTGGAATCTGCAAAGGAATCAGTGGATTAAGTAATTTTAAAAAGGGGAGCATTTGAATTATTTAGGGTGTCAATAATGGTCAGGATATAGCAAACATTATCTAGGGAACATCTAGGATGAGAATACTCCCCTCTGTATATAGAATTTGTTTATGACAGGGGTGGTTGATTTATTAAATAATATAGCTACTCTCCTTGAGTTTGAGTGATCGCGTGCCAAAATGCATGTGATTATCCATCTTGCCTTAAGGGTAGAGGTGGAGGTTTTTTTCCAGTAGGGTTCCTGGCTGGTGTGGACTTTGGTGTTCAGGGGTAAGGCATTATACCCGGATCAATTAAGTATTTTTTATTAGATGAGGTTATACAACCCTGCTACTACCCATGTTCCAGCCAATGGGGAGGACAAGGAGATAGCAATAAGCCAGATGACCCCTGAGCCTTACAAAAAGTGAGCGACAGTAGAAAGCATAATAAAAATTTACGTTAATGAAAATTAATGAAACTTTGAGAATTGTGAGCGGGGCATCTTCCGGTGATCAAAATGGCCGGACAGCCACTAGTCCATATGGCTGGCTAAGCTTTAGGATTTGAACATCGGGTAACTCAGGTTAGATCAAGAGTGGTTATTAGGGATGTGCATGGGCAAAGATTTTGGTTCAGTTCGACACTTCAGCAATTCAGGATTTCGGCAATTCCCAAACCCTACCCCTACGAATCTAGGCTTTAGGATTATCTAGTATTAATTATCATGGTATTATTTAGGCATTGCTATGACAGTGTACTTGAAACATAGTTACAGATACATGTGTAGTGCTTCAATAATTTTTTTTATATACTATATGTAAAAACCTTTGCATGCCTGCAAATTCTATAATCCTGCATGCGTGCAGGTTAGCCTATTAGATGATTAACTTTGTTTCTATTTTGTTTTTAATCATCTGTATATTGTTTCTTTATCACATATATACTTGGCTCATTACCAGTGGTGTATTTTGGATTTGTGCTGCCCTAGGCATGACGAAACTCAGACACGCCCAATCTAAATTTACCCCACCCCTTCTTGTCTGGCCCGCACTTCTTCCTTTTAAGACCAACACTCACATTGATTGATAGACACACACTGGCACACACTCTCAGATACACATACACTGACAGACACACACTGATATACACACACTCACTGATTTGACAAAAATATTCTCATTGATTTGACACACTCTGACAAACACATACCATCACTGAGACACACTGAAACACACATTCACTGACAGACACACACACACACTCTCACTCACAGACACACACACATTCACTAACACTCACCCTGATACTGATACACTCACATTCACAAAAATTGTCTCACACTCACAAATAATTTTTTATTTTTTTTATTTTAATTTAAATCCACCCAGCCTCCTTACCTTTGTTAGAGTTGGAGTAGATTATTTTCCTGGGGTCCAGTATGGCTGCTGCTGGGCGGGCGGTCAACCGACCAAGCTATAATCTTCTTGCTATGCTCCCATGCGCGCCGCTTAGTGATGCCGGGAGCAGGAATGACGTCATATTATGGCTCCCGGCATCACTGCAGGGTGCGTGAGGGAGTAGAGCAGGAAGAGCTCAGAGGACAGCACTCCTTCAAAGTCCACCCACAATATGAGCAGCTGTCTGCCTCGTGGGGGCCTTAAGATGGCCAGCTGGCTAGCTCTTGGGCCCCTGATGAAAGAGGCAAACAAGGCATCTGCCAGGGCGTTTGGGATATGGGATTTCTTGCCGCCCCCCTGAAAGTACCGCCAAGGCTGTACTTTCTTGTTAGCCTCACTGTAAATACAGCACTGTATTTTCATTGCTTTTTCTATGCATACACATAGATCGGGTCCTCCGGGATTGTCTGTTTGTTTACACTTTTTTACTACTGGTTCCACGTCAGCTGGGATGTCACTCATTCACTTTCTGTCTGAATAAACCCTCTCTATTGTTTTGCACCAATATTTTTTTTTAGGCATTAGAGAGGTTGTGGCAAGCCTAGCCACTTAAGACTGTAGTTACCTTATGTGATATTGTTGCTTTAAGACTGCCTGATATGTCCGTGTTCCCTATTCTGTGTTTTATGTGAACGAGAGCATTTGTATGCTAGCGGCATGAAAGCCGCAAGCATTCATATGGTAGTTTCACGGACAGTGAATTTCAACACTGTTCGTGAAACGAACAAAGTACCGAATAGGAGACCACACACAGGGGGTCGTGTGGCTCCCATTACGCATGGCAGCAATGTATCTCTCTGCAGTTAATAGATTTTCGGGGTGGCCACCTTGGATCCTTTGTTAGCCCAGCGGTGTTTAGTCGTCGTGCGCCTGGAACTAAAATCGGCTGCTCGACAGCACGAACAACGCTGGACTTCCAGGACATTCTGGACCACGGTCTTTCGGTACCTTCTCTCTACATGTGTATTCGTGTGGCGTTCGGCTAATTGTGCTGGGATCTGAGCGGTACTTTCACGAAGCATGCGCTCAGACCCCAGCTATCTGCCGAACGGTCATTCGGTACAATGGCACGAATAATATATAAGTTATGGATTTTTAAGTAAAAAGCCAGTTCTGCTGGACGGAGGGATAATCCACTTAACAGGATATTCTTATGGGAGTTTCCCTCTCATACAGCAGTGCATGGTGGGAGAAATGTCCTGTATGTTCAGTTCCCCATGTAGTCCCCTACTGTACAACCCCTGTAAAGTAATTAAGGAAACCCCTTGCATGGGGAACCACATAAATACTGGAGCTTATGAATAAAAACCTGAGTTGACTCCCAGCCTATGTGTTATCTAGTTCTTGTGAGGGAAGAATTCTTATAGCGCTACTTGGATTACTGTATGCTGTACCTGCCTACCTGGATTATTATATGCTTTTCCTATCTACCGGCGGTTATACCGTGGATTATACTACCTCTCCGCTACAGAGGTACATGACAAGTTGAATGGAGTTAAAACACACGTGCATATAGGTATAACGAGAACAAAAGTATCAATACATCCAATGTAAGAAGCACAATGGAATTAACGCTTATCAAGTGCAGTCTCATTTTTCAATTTTAAGAAAGTGTAATAGAAACAGGCTAGGCAGACTTGTCTAGAAAAGGAGGTTTAAGCTAAGCTTTCATCATATGATATGCTTTAAACAAAGAGAATGCTTAGGTTAGGCATACATGTCTAATTGCTGAGCTACAGCTTTAAAGCTGAAAAAAAATGCTATACAAGGCGAGTACTAATAGTAAACATGCTTAATAATGCAAGACAAGATCACTGGATGCTTAGATCAAAACCAGTTAAAGGCAGAGTGCCCAAAGCTACACATACTAAGCTAGCATCATGCTAAATGAACCACTGGAAC